GTTCCACTGAGCCAATAGGACTCATTTACAAAAGAGACCTGGATTTTAACAAAGAGTGATGACAACAGTGGATAACAAACTGTTTTTCAATTGTAAAAAAAAAAAACAATTAAAAAAACTTAAATTTGTATGAATCATTTGTGAATGTGTATTGTTGTTGTTGTTATCAGTGTCTTATTATCTTGTGCTCTGGTCCAGTGTCTTCACGGACAATGTGTGTGAGGGTGGACATGTTTGGAGGTTGCTGTGTTGAAGCTCCATGGATCAGCCTCTCTGCAGCTCTCAGCTCCTTCACTGAGCCTTGAGGGAATCACTGAGCTGCTCTTGTTCTTCACAGTTAGAAGGTGGGAGCTCTCGTCAAATGATGATCTCCAGCATCATCTTGTTCATGCCAGGCTTTTTATCCACTGACCACAGCCACCTGGAAACATCAGGGGGACCAGTAGCTGTTTAACACATCTGGAAGGAAACCAGTGAGATTTTAATATGACCAGTATGATATGATGTTATGTGGGGGAGTGGTGGAGCAGAGGTTACAAGATGGGCCTGTGATCAGAAAGTCGCAGGTTCAACTCCCGGTACCGTCAACATCAAAATGTGGGTGGAATAGGTGAAAACCCACACCTGCCTCCACCCTCATTGGCCCCACCCTGGTCCCCTGAGCAAGGCCCTTAACCCCCACCATCTGCTCCTAAACAGGTCTCTCTTTAAAATGAGTTCTCTTGACTCAGTGAGACTACCTGTATAAATAAAGGCTAAATGAAAAAATAAAAGTTTAAAATAGAAATACTCACATCATGAGGCCAAGGTTGTGTGTGTGACGTGCACGTTCCTGAGGTTGTGTGTGTGACGTGCACGTTCCTGAGAGTGTGTGTGTGACGTGCACGTTCCTGAGAGGCCACAGACAGAGCAGCTCCAGCTTTTGTTGAGTTCCTGTAGTCCTGCAGTTTTCAAGCTGAAATGAAAAAGCATCATGAATATGAACTTTACAGTCTATAGTTACCTGTTCATATAAACACATGGAGGTGTCTCACCTTGTGACTCACAATAAAATATGTAAATTTATGAACATTAATGAACTTATTATGATGCTTCTACTCTCTGAAGGTGAACCGATGGTACCACACCATCTCTCAGTCGGACGATCTGATCAGTTTGATCAAAATCCTCCAGTTTCAAATCCTCTCTGCTCAGATGAATCCTCCTCAAAAATACTTCCTCCTCTTCCTCACATCTTGTTCTTTGGGAAACCTTCAAAATGAAAAAAGGAGATTTGTGTCTACACAAAAACATTGTACAGAGGAGGTCAAGCTTATTTTCTATTTCCTATATTCTCCCTAGTTTTTTATTTTTTATTTCCTAGAACTTAAACAAAACTCCAATTATGATACATATCTCTTGATAATGAACCAAAGCTACTGAAATAGTGAGTATTCTTGTTAGAAAAATATTCCTGTCATCAGATCTCAGTCAACTTCATTGCAGCTGAACACCGTGTTACACTGAACATCACATCAGCTGGTGGACATAAATACAGTACAGTAATATTCTATTCACAAAATACTAACAATAATATGTTCATCTTACTTGTGAAAAGTTATCCCACGAGACCTGACGTCAACAGTCCGTCGATTAGAACAGAAATAAGCTGCAAAGTGCTGAAACATCTGCTTTAACCAAATAAGGACGACCGTTTCAAGATGGCGGCCGAAAATCCTGCGCCGCAGCAGCCAATGAGGGATCTAGTGTTTATATCTATGGTTAGAAGCTGTTGAGTTCTGTCAATGTTTTTCAGTGGGAAAAATGGCATCTTTGTTTACATAGTTTTGATATAACATTTGTGGGAGGTGCACATTGTGGTTCAGGGCCAAGCCTCATTAAAGTTTAAAGTAGAGCAATACTCTTTTCAGGTGGATAATAATAGGGTGCCTTTCTAAGCACTCCACAAAAAAATATAACCGAGTATGTGGCTGCACTCTTTGCACACTGAGAAGATTTGTGAAAAAGACACGACAGATGAAAGGAGACAGCAATTCTTATGCTTTTATGTATAATTTGTACTGTAGGTATAAAAGCTATAAAATAAATCAAAATTCCAGTTCAGTAATATAAAGTCAAACTTCTTTTGACTCTTAAAGTTGAAATGAGGTTTATACTGTGAATTACTGCCTATCAATAGAGCTCCAAAGAGGGCTGAGCTTTTATTTATGTATGTTTTGGCAAAATCCTGTTGTCTACGGGAAAATTCCTTGCACTGTTTTTATCATTCATTCATTCAATCGTTACTTATACAGGTTAGCCTCATTGAGCCAAGAGGCCTCATTTACAAGAGAGACCTGTTCAAACAAAGAATATCTCATCGAAGCACATCCCTAGAGAGGCATTCAAGAAGTATCCTTACCAGATGCTCGAACTACCTCAATTGGCTCCTCTCGATGTGGAGAAGCAGCGGTTCTACTCCGAGTCACTCCTGGATAACAAAAACTTCTCACCCTATTTCTAAGGGCGAGACCAGCTACCCTGCGGAAGAAACTCATTTCAACCGCCTGTATCCACAATCTCATTCTTTCGGTCACTACCCAGACCTTGTGACCATAGCTGAGGGTAGGAACGTAGACCGACTGGTAAACAGAGAGCCTCACCGTACAGCTCAACTTACTCCTCACCACAATGGACCAGTACAGAGTCCACAATACTGCAGATGCTGCACTAATCTGTCTGTCAATCTCACGCTCCATTCTTCCATTACTCATGATCAAAACCCCGAGATACTTGAACTCCTCTACTTATGGCAGAACCTCACCCTTGACCTGAAGACAGCAATCCACCCTTTTATGGTTGAGGACCACGGCCTCAGATTTGGAGGTGCTGATTCTCATCCCAGTCACTTCACACTCGGCTGCAAACCGTTCCAGTGAGAGCTGAAGATCACGGCATGATGAGGCCAACAGGACCACATCATCTGCGAAGAACAGAGATGGAATCCTGAGGTCACCGAACTAGAAACTGTCTGCCCGATGGCTGCACCGAGAAATTATGTCCATAAAAGTTGTGAACAGAATCTGTTACAATGGGCAGCCCTGGCGGAGTCCAACTCCCACACTAAGGGGTCTGACTTACTACCAGCATTGCGAACCAAACTCTTGCACTGCTTGTACAATATAGGTACCAAACAGCCTATAACAACGGGCCCCCAATCCCATACTCACGGAGCACCCCCACAGTGTACCCCGAGGAACATGGTCAAAAGCCTTCTCCAAGTTCACAAAACACATGTAGACTGGATGGGCAAACTCCCATGACCCCTCGAGGACCCTATTGAGGGTAAAGAACTGATCCAGTGTTCCACGGCCAGGACAGAACTAACATTGAGGAACATTGTTCCTCCTGGATCTGAGATACGACCAATGATAAGACTCGTTTCTCCAGTACCCCTGAATAGACATTACCAGGTAGGCTGAGAGTGATGCCCCTGTAATTGGAGTGCACCTATTTTGAAGAAGGGGAGCCACTAGTCTGCCAACCCAGTGGCACTGCCCCCGATGTCCATGCAATGTTGCAAAGGCGTGTCAACCAAGACAGCCCCACATCATCCAGAGCCTTAAGGAAATCAGGGCGAATCTCATCCAGCCCCAGAGCCCTGCCGTCACGTAGCTTTTTAACTACCTTGGCGACCTCAGCCACATTTATGGACAGACCAACCCCGAAGCCTTACCAAACTCCTCCCACATCCGAGCTTTTGTCTCAGCAAGAGCCAAGGCTGTGGACCGCTTGACCCTCTGGTACTCCTCAGCTGCCTCCATAGTCCCACGAACCAACAAGAACCGATAGGACTCTTTCATCTTGACAGCCTCCCTTACCTGGGGTGTATGTACAACGTACCTCAACCAAATGTCATGGCATAGTTGCTATTTTGATGCATTTTGTTTAGTTGAAGAGTTTAATAATAAAAAAATTAATGATGGAAACCAAACAGAATAGTACTAGAAAGTTCCTTGCGAAACTTTGACTGGGACTGCCATATCGCAGCCATTTGAAAATTTTGATTTGACAGTACTAAGTGTTGTGGTTCACTCTCAGCTATAACCACATTAAATTTCAGTTCTATTTGTGTAAATATAGCTGAGTTAAATCCATTTAAATTTAGCTTTGGTGGCCATCTTGAATTTTTGTTTGAATTCAGTATTTGTGGGGCATTGCTCTCAGCTACCTTCACACCAAATTTTAGCTTAATATCTCTAAAAATGGCTGATTTATAGTTTATTTCATTGAGGAAAAATGACATATTTATTTGCAAATTACGTTGCCATGGTAACTCAAAACGCAAATAAAAGTAATAGCACAAATTACGTTGCTGAGCCGGTTGTTTGGATATAAAATTTATGTGGGTACACATTGCGGTATGGGACACATACAAGTTGAAGTAAGAGCAAGACTCTTTTCAGGTGGATAATAATAGGTGGCTGCCATAGGTAGTCCCCAAAAAGTGCTTCACTATTTGCTCCTATGCTTTGGCACTCTTAAAAACCATACATGAAAATTTTGAACTAAACACATGACTACAAACTAATTTTCTTGCACAAATAGTATATTTTGCATTGTTTTGTGCAAAGAAACAGCCGAGACAAGTTCAATGTGCGAGAATTGTTTTTATTTATTGATCAACAGATTTTAGGGAAACAGTTCAGTAGAGATAGGCATTGTATTCAGGGGTGTGATTAAATCTAAAGTGCAAATGTTGCAGAAGAGCAGTGAGAAAGAAAGGTTAACCTAGTTCTCCTGTGTAGCTTCAGCAAAGCTTCTGTTGGGAGCCTGACCATGGGGGTGGGGGGGTGGGGGGTTACAGTTCAGGAGACAAGAAAGATCAGGAGGAGACGGTTTATGGACATCACAGACTACTGGAATGAGTAAAATTATATTGCCCAGATTAAAATCCCAGACCAGCTGAAAACACTTAGAAAAACAATACTTTTGAAAACCAAGAATAATGCAACTAGGGAATGAGCCTTTAAAAAAAAAAGTGTTTTCTCTTATTATCTTATTATAAATTTCAGATCTGTGGAATTCAGGGTTTTGTGTGATAGTTTTTTTTTTAAATCTAAGAAATTATGCTTTTTGAAGGTGTGCACCATCTAATTCCTCCTTATCTACCATCCTCCAAGCGTACTATGCGTTAGTTTCTAGCTGGTACAAGATAATTACCCCCACACACAGGCTAATGTTGGCTCTAGCACAGCTCGGGTTGCATCTTTGCTGCACGGCACCGTAGCACTTTCAAGAAGCTGTCAATCTTGTGTGAGTCGCGACGGAAACAAGAAAGTAGAAAGTTGAACTTCTGTAGTTTAGTGTTTCGGTCATGGCCCAGGTCAGTGCCTCCGTGGTAGGGCAGAAAGGAGACAACCTGAGCATCTGGACCCATCTGATCAACAAAAGCAGACAGAGACAGTGGGACACATCAAAGGAGACACAATATTTCAGCAGCAATAAAACCTTTCTTTCAACTTTATGTCTACCTTGCCAGATAGTATGTCCAGGCCATCTCCCAGGCTTTTGGAGTGCTCCTGCAGCTCCTGGATCTTGTTGGAAATGCTGTTCCTAGCAGGGTGAGGCAGAGTGTTGGCGTTGTTGGAGAGGATCACCAGGGGCTTGTCCCAGGCTTGGAGCAGGGAGCGGGCCAAAGACATCAGAGCTGACTCCTGGACATAACGCCAGAGCAGAAAGGCAATCAGCCAGAAACACTTATCCACATGGATCCACGACTTTCAAAGCATGTTTCCGAATAGTCTTAGACAAAAAAGATGCAATGCCCTTTGTGGTTTGAAAAGATGAGTGAGACACGTCAAAGATCAGTGTTACTTACAGATACTTGTAGAGTTTGCTCTTTGTCGTTGGGGGTCGGCAGCACAGAGGTGTGGCACAGCGCAGGGCGTTCCATCGTTGGCCAGCTCATTGGAGAAATGTGGGACGCCTGGACACAGGACAGGATGATCTTTATGAACTCTAGCTCCTGAGACTTTAGACTCACACAACCTTTTGTGGTCTGAACAGACTCTTACCAGGTCCTGGGTGAGCACTGTGCTGAGGGAGTACATTTTGTCTGAGCTCTGGGAGGCTCGGTTGAGCAAATCGTTGATGGGAATGGCCCTGCACATGGCCAACATGTACACGACTGGAGCAACAAAGAGAAAACATGGAGAACAGTTTCAAATGTTCTGTCTTTCAGTTTGTAATAGACTTTTCAATAAAACAGGGGCAGCTGTGGCTGAGTGGTTAGAGCAGTTGTCCTTCAATGGGTGAGTTGGAGCTTCATTTCCACCAGCAGTCACATTGCCTCATTGCCTCCGATGTGTGTCCCATCAGTGTATAAATGGGATAAAGCACTGATTAGTCTTTGTATAGATCTAGTAGAGTGCTGTATGAATGGTGAGGCACAGATTGTGTTGTAAAGAGCTTTGAGTGTCTTGATAAGATAGAAAGGTGATATATAAGTACAGTCCATTTACAATTTAAAACTCTCATTCAAGCCTGACTTTTATGCGGATTATCTCTTTGCATAAAGACTGATAACTGTTCAGAAACTTAGATGTGATGTGCAGGAGAGGTAAATGTTGCTTATTAGTCCACTTAAAAGTCTGTAATAGAAGTTTGTCTCACCTGTCAGGAAGAGGTTGCTTCCGCTGTTTCTTCTCTGGGCCATTTCGTTCTCTTTTCTCCGCTGTCAGGAGGTCTTTTTCTCGTTCTGCTTTACTTCTTTGCCTTTTTGCTTCTTTGCTCCATTTTGCCTGCATTATATACTTCCCTTGGCCTGACAGTTTGGTTATGCAGCAGTAGGGTGAGCGTGCGCTAATTGCCCAGAACTTGCTTAGACCAGTTTATAATGAGAAACATTGAGGAGGAGGACTGAATGGATGCATCAGGATGTGCTGATGTGCATGTGCATTTGTTTGTGTGGCACAGAGGTGGAAAAGTTCCTTCCTGGTCTTGATTAAACAGATGAATAAAAACACAAATTTGCACCTCAACTTCTGTGAAGTCTTAACTTGTTTTAAATCATTTTTAAAATACTTTACGATCATGCAAGTCCGTAGCCCTGCTGCGTTTTATTTACCTCATCTCAGTACGTGTCTCACTGGGACTTTATATACTTTGTACATTCCTTGTGCGTCACTACAGATAGTTTATCTCTGACTTAAGCACGTCATTCGTAAGGGAGAAAGCTCTGGGTCAGCCTAACCAAAACCCAAGACCCCAGCCCAGAATTCATGGAGTCTGTTATTCCTGTCCACGTAGGCTCATCAATAACACCTTAGAAACTTCCCTTTCATGTTTGGTGGTGATAAGACCTTGCGTGCATATCATAACCTAAGTTATTACTGATGACTTAAATAACAACAAAACACATTCCACCTTGGCCCAAAAAGCTTTCTTTATTATTCATGGGGCGGCTGTGGCTGAGTGCTTAGAGCAATCGTCCTCCGATGCAAGAGTTGGGGGTTTGATTCCACCAGCAGTCACATTCCGAAATGTGACTGCTGTCACATTGCCTCCAATGTGTGTCCCATCGTTGTATGAATGTGATAAAGCCCTGATTAGTCTTTGTAGAGATCTAGTAGCGTGCTGTATGAATGGGTAAATGAGGACACACATTGTGTTGTAAAGTGCTTCAAGTATAAGATAGAAAGGTGCTATATAAGTGCAGTCCGTTGACCATTAAATTGGCACATAGTACACATTTGTGACGTACAAACTGCAATATTTGCACGACATACCTGCGAATGATGTACAGATTTATTTGTTGCGTTGTACTCGCGGTGTCACAGTTATGCTTAAATTTCATAGAACTTCATGTGTTTTATTTCTTGTCAATAGCAGTTTGTTTTTATTGGTCACCAGCCCTCCAAAAGTTGGCTCACATTTTTTGCACTTTATGGTTCACGGAAACTAAACTGAGGAGTCCAACGTTTTTCAGTCAGGTCATCTGGACAGTTTTTTTTTTTTTTTTGTCCAGATGACCTTACTGAAAAATGTTGGATTTTATTCCTGGATTATTGAGCATGGATTTTGTTGTTTTCAACCAGTTTGACAAGACTGTCAACAAGGAAGAGGGCCGGCACTGAAGAAGGGGGCGTATCAAAGAGACCATCTTATCACAAGCAGAACTGGTTTGTTCCACTTTGGAGTAAGTTGTTGGGGGGAATAATCAGTTTTGTTGTGTGTTTCCTTGACTGATGAAACCTTCCGGATCGAAGGTGAAACGTTTCAGCACAAAAAAAAAAAAAAAGAAACTGTCCAGATGACCTGACTGAAAAATGTTGGATTTTATACCTGGATTATTGAGCATGGACTTTGTTGTTAAACTGAGGAGTGTTTGAAACAAATTCCAGATGTTTGCAGTCACCCGTGACTATTCTGAGAGAGAAGTGGATTTACAGGGTTTTTTTTTGGAACATCTTAAAGTTGCCTGCCAGGGTGAGGTCCTCATACAAGCAAGCTGTGGTATTTTTGTGTTTGCTGATGTGAATAAAATGTGGAGGTAACCTTAAAGTGGGGTGATTCCAATCAGCTGTAGATGTCCATTCAGTGATTAATTTCTCAAAGTAACCATAAAATCCTCCTGGTGGTTCATGACATATTTTGCAAACAGACAGACTCAGTTGACTCTTCAATAAATAAGGTCAAACTTGAAAAAAAAATTGTGGGGTCCATTAAAGTGTGTGTTCAAAAGGACTCTCAGCTACTGTCACCAAATTTAGCTCAGTTTCTGTAAATTTACCTTCATCCACGTTGGTGTTTGCTAAAGTTGCTTAGCTGTGACGGCCATCTTAAGCGGAACTAACTCCAGAAGTTATTCAACTATATGTACATCCAATCATTACTTTTTGAAAACTTTAGCCAATATTAGTTCATGGTTCATGACATATTTTGCTAACAAACAGATAAATAAATTTAAAAACAATCCACTTTTGTCTTCAGCAGTGGGTGATGATGAACTTAATTTTATCTAAAGCATCTATGAGTTCATCAGTTACTGATATTTTTAAGGTTTAACATATTCAAGTACTAAATTACAAATCTGTGGCATGTGAAATATTCACTTTCTTATGTTCTCTTTTTGTGTATAAATTTATATTAAAAGTACGAATGATACCCTAACCCTTCTTAGCTTAATTGTTTAGCCATTTTGAAATAGCGTTTCATGTAAATGTTAAGAACAAACTATTATGGTACCTATTGTAAAAAGTGCTTTGTTCATCTCAGTTTGAATAGTTTAAATCTGACCAGTCTGTAGATTGTCAAAATGTACTCAAGACCAAAGTTGATTCTTGTCATCATAAACTACTTACATGTACAACGTTTAAAACCAATTTCTGTCCCACTGTACAATAAGGCTCCCCTTATAGATGGCTTATAAATAATTTATATATATGTTATTAATTCCTCTATAAACACTTTATAAATATTTAATAAATGTTTATTATGCATTAATTAAGGGTGACAGAGACAAAACTGACCAGTTTCTTATCAAATAGTGAGTCAAATCTGTTCACCTGTATATTTCATCTAGGGTTGTTATTTTTTAAACATTTCAGACTAAGTTACTACCTTGTAAGCACATTTGCAAACCTAATTTTAAGGATATAATATTGTACTTTATCAATTCATTATAAGTCTACAACTTATATTATATCCTAAAAATTGGTTTATAAATGCTTATTGTGCTCACAAGGTAGTAACTTCGTTTGAAATGTTTAATATGACAACTCTATATGAAATATATAGGTGAACAGATTTGACTCACTATTTGGCAATAAACTGGTCAGTTTTGTCTCTCTGTCATCTTTAATTAATGCATAATAAACAATTATTAATGATTTATAAGTGTTTATAGAGGAATTAATAACGTATCTATAAACTATTTTTTTAACCATCTATAAGGGGAGCTTTATTGTACAGTGGTACCACAATTTCATAATATAAACTTTCTCATCACAGCCAATTTTTCTTCCATCCATCCATCCATCCATTCATCCATCCATCCATCCATCCATCCATCCATCCAAACATACATACATACATACATAAACACATACATACATACTGTACACACATACATACATTATCATCTGCTTGTTCTGGAGTTGTGTTGCTGAGGCAGCAGCTTGAGCAGGGAGACCCAGGCATCTTTTTTCCCCATCCACTTCTTCCAGCTCTTCTGGGAGGAATCCAAGGTGTTCCCAGGCCAGTCCAGTGACATAGTCTCTCGAGTGTGTCCTGGGTCTTCCCTGGGGTCTTCTTCCAGTTGGACATGACCGGAAAACCTTCTTAAGGAGGCATCCTGGGGGATCCTTACCAAAAATGTCTGAACCACAACTGGCTCCTATTGATGTGGAAGAGCAACAGCTCTTCTCCAAGTCTCTCCTGGGTAACAGAACATCTCACCCTATCGTTAACAGAGACCAGTTATCTTGCGTGATAAACATACCCAAGATCTTGTCCTATTGGTCACTATCCAAAGTCTGCAACCATATGTGAGGTGGGAACATAGACTGACCAGTAAACAGAGACATTGCCTTGCCCCTCAGCTCCTTCTTCAACAAACCAGACTGGAACAGAATCTGCAATATTGTACTGCGGAAGCTGCACCGATACGTCAGTCAATGAAATAAGATAAGCCTTTAATCGGCCTCCAAGGTAGAAATACTTGATTTCATGCTCCATTCTTCCCTCACGCATGAACAAAACCTCAAGATACTTGAATTCCTTAATTTGAGGCAGCACCTCGGAGAGTCAGAAAGTCAGAGTCAGAGATTCTTTATTGTCGTTCTCATCACATGTGGTACATGTAGTGGAATGAAAATATGTACACAGGGTCCCAGTTACATCAAACAAGATGTCTGGGCCCTCACGCCTAACCTGGAGAGGGCAGTCTATTCTTTTCTGATTGAGGATCGTGGCCTCAGGCTTGGAGGTGCTGATCCTCATCCCAGCTGCAGACAACCTGTTAAAATACACCAGAATGCAGGAAATGGCTTCTACTTTCCAACATTTTTCAGTCCGGTCATCTGGACAGTTTCTTTTTTTTTTTTTGTGCTGAAACATTTCGCCTTCGATCCAGAAGGCTTCATCAGTCAAGGAAACACACAACAAAACTTATTCTTACCCCAACAGTGGAAAAAACCAGTTCTGCTTGTGATAAGATGGCCTCTTTGGCACACCCCCTCCTCCATTGTCGGCTCTATTCCTTGTTGACAGTCTTGTCAAACTGGTTGAAAACAACAACGTCCATGCTCAATAATTCAGGTATACAATCCAACATTTTTCAGTCAGGTCATCTGGACAGTTTCTTTCTGTCCAGATGACCTGACTGAAAAATGTTGGATTGTATACCTGAATTATTGAGCATGGACTTTGTTGGCTTCTACTTTATTCAAAATTTTCTGGGAGAGGACCCCCAGATGCCACCCCCCATTCCACCACCACCACCATCACCACCAGTCTGTCTCCCCCACATTATGAAGGCTTCTGACACCAACGGCCACCACATTGTTCAAGTCAAGAGCCATCAATACTCGGGGCTAAGCACCCCTAAAGGTCAGATTCTAGAATCGCCCCTGATCTTCAGTCAACTCATCGGCAACTCCAAACATTTCAGAAATTATATTTTAATCAAAACTAAAGCATAGTGTCCTCAAATGATCATGGTGGCCATAGATTAATCTGCAACC